AGACTATTCTCTCCCCCATAGACTTCAATGCCGTAAACATACTTCATCCAGTTTTTCTCAGTCTTACCCCCACCCCAATGTCAGCCTCATTCTACAACAGTGGCACCATATAGCATTTGTCCCTTTGTGACTGAGATACCTCACTCAGCATAATGTCCTCCAGGTTCACCCACTGGCTATGTTTTTAAAGTCTGCAAACTATACTCCCCCTTTCGGCTCTACTGTATAAGTGGACATGCTCACTAGTAGTTATCAACAAATTTAGAAGATAGATACTAGGCCAACTGGCTAAAAGAAATCTATATTTGATCTCATTCCAAAAAATGATGATCCAACAGTGTAGATATTATTAACAATATCATTAGTATCACATACAAGTAAAATCTTGCTGAAGATAATTTTAAAATGACAGGAAAAGTACATCAACAGGAAAATGCCAGAAATTAAGCCAGATTCAGAAGAGGACATGGAATGAGAGATGGAATTACTGATGTTACATGGATCTTGGCTGAAAAAGAGAACACCAGAAAAATGTTTACTTGTGTCTTACTGATTATGCAAAGGTAGAGACTAATAATTTGTGCCTGATCCAAGCTATGGTCTTTTCAATTTTTTTCTGTGCATCTGAAACTTGGACAGTGACTAAAGATGACAGAAGAATCAATGCCTTTGAGCTATGGTGTTGGAGAAGAGTACTACTGAATATTCCATGAACTGCCGAAAGAAAAGCAAGTATGTCCTAGAGAAAGTACTCCTTGGAAGTACTTCACTCTGTGAAGTATCATTTCACATACTATGAGCATGTTGTTAAGAGAGTCCAGCCTTGGAAAGTGCAAAAGCAGTAATTTATAACAATTAGCAAACACATCAAAAGGCAGGGAAAAAAATTACTATTGACTCTCTAACCCAACATCTTCAACAAGTTGAAAAAGAACAGCAAGGAAACCCAACCCCCTCTAAAAAATCTGAAATTATAAAAATTAGAGCAGAAATAAATGAAATAGAAAAAAAACCCCACAATTGAAACCATCACAAAACAAGGAGTTGGTTCTTTTAAAAGGTTAATAAAATTGACAAACCACTAGCAAAACTAACAAAAAAAGAAGAAAAAGACCCAAATAATTCAAATAAGAGATGAAACAGGCAACATTACAACAGAACCAACTAAAATAAAGAGTAACCTTGGAATATTATGAAAAACTATACTGAAACATATGAAAACCTAGAGGAAATGGACAAATACTTAGAAATGCACAGCCTCCTTAAGTTGACAGAAACCAAAACTGAACATCTGAACAGATCCATTAAAAAAAGAAGAACTTGAAAAAGTAATAAAACAAATATCAGCCAAAAAAGGTCCTGGGCCAGATGGTTTTACAAGTGAATTTTATCAAACATTCAGAGAAGAACTGTCACCAATTCTACATAAGCTATTTCAGAAAATAGAATAAGATGGAATTTTCACAGACTCATTTTAAAAAGCAAACATATCCTTACTACCAAAGCCATGTAAAGACATCACCAAAATAGAAAACTATAAGTCAATATCTCTTATGAACATAGATGCAAAAATCGTGAATAAAATCCTAGCCAATAGAATCTAATGATACATCAAAAAAATTATTCACATGACTAAGGGGAATTCATAACAGATATGCAAGGATGGTTGAAAATAAGAAAAACAATCAATGTAATTCATCACATTTTTTTGTTGTTGTTATGTGCCATCAAGTCATTTGCGACTCATAGCGACCCTATATGTCCAACAGCCCTAAACCCTGCTCTATCCATGCCAATCACATTGCCTCTGACACACCCATCCCAATTACCCCAGGCACTGAATCAATCCACCTCATAGAGGGTCTTCCCCTCCTGCACTGTCCCTCCACCCTACCAAGCATGAGGTCTCTCTCCAAGAACCTGTCTCTCCTTACAACATGTCCAAAGTATGTCAGATGAAGCCCCAGAATCCTTGCCTCCAATGAGTAGCCTGGTTTAACCCTCTCCAGGACAAATCTGTTTTCTTGGCAGTCCATGGTACATTCAATACTCTTCTCCA